GGCTGTGAACACGTGAGTTAACAGGCTCGCACGTGACTTTACCCCTAGTCAAGACTTCCTGGATTGTTGTCCATTCACAAATACAGGAGCCTGTTGCCCAGGAGGGTTCAGGCTGATATAAGTAATTCCCCTCTGTTTTATGTGGTTAAAAACAGCTGTACTTGTGTAATACAGTTGTTAACTGTCAGCAATAACATGATTGCTAATCAGTCAGTGGTAGTGATAACAAATGACAAAATTAATGTGAGATCATGTCACGCCCTGACTCTGGGGACTTTTATTTGTTGAGTCAGGGTGTGATTTTCTATGTGGTACTTTCTATGTTCTGATCTGGTAGGTGTATTTCTATGTTGGCCGGTGTGGTTCCCAATCAGAGGCAGCTGTAGCTCGTTGTCTCTGATTGGGGACCATACTTAGGCAGCCTATTGGCACTAGTGGGTTGTGGGATCTTGTTCCGTGTGAGGTACAGTGGGGAAAAAAAGTATTTAGTCAGCCACCAATTGTGCAAGTTCTCCCACTTAAAAAGATGAGAGAGGCCTGTAATTTTCATCATAGGTACACGTCAACTATGACAGACAAAATGAGAAAAAAAAATCCAGAAAATCACATTGTAGGATTTTTTATGAATTTATTGGCATATGATGGTGGAAAATAAGTATTTGGTCAATAACAAAAGTTTCTCAATACTTTGTTATATACCCTTTGTTGGCAATGACACAGGTCAAACGTTTTCTGTAAGTCTTCACAAGGTTTTCACACACTGTTGCTGGTATTTTGGCCCATTCCTCCATGCAGATCTCCTCTAGAGCAGTGATGTTTTGGGGCTGTCGCTGGGCAACACAGACTTTCAACTCCCTCCAAAGATTTTCTATGGGGTTGAGATCTGGAGACTGGCTAGGCCACTCCAGGACCTTTAAATGCTTCTTACGAAGCCACTCCTTCGTTGCCCGGGCGGTGTGTTTGGGATCATTGTCATGCTGAAAGACCCAGCCACGTTTCATCTTCAATGCCCTTGCTGATGGAAGGAGGGTTTCACTCAAAATCTCACAATACATGGCCCCATTCATTCTTTACTTTACACGGATCAGTCGTCCTGGTCCCTTTGCAGAAAAACAGCCCCAAAGCATGATGTTTCCACCCCCATGCTTCACAGTAGGTATGGTGTTCTTTGGATGCAACTCAGCATTCTTTGTCCTCCAAACATGACGAGTTGAGTTTTTACCAAAAAGTTATATTTTGGTTTCATCTGACCATATGACATTCTCCCAATCCTCTTCTGGATCATCCAAATGCACTTCAGACGGGCCTGGACATGTACTGGCTTAAGCAGGGGGACACGTCTCGCACTGCAGGATTTGAGTCCCTGGCGGCGTAGTGTGTTACTGATGGTAGGCTTTGTTACTTTGGTCCCAGCTCTCTGCAGGTCATTCACTAGGTCCCCCCGTGTGGTTCTGGGATTTTTGCTCACCGTTCTTGTGATCATTTTGACCCCACGGGGTGAGATCTTGCGTGGAGCCCCAGATCGAGGGAGATTATCAGTGGTCTTGTATGTCTTCCATTTCCTAATAATTGTTCCCACAGTTGATTTCTTCAAACCAAGCTGCTTACCTATTGCAGATTCAGTCTTCCCAGCCTGGTGCAGGTCTACAATTTTGTTTTTGGTGTCCTTTGACAGCTCTTTGGTCTTGGCCATTGTGGAGTTTGGAGTGTGACTGTTTGAGGTTGTGGACAGGTGTCTTTTATACTGATAACAAGTTCAAACAGGTGCCATTAATACAGGTAACGAGTGGAGGACAGAGGAGCCTCTTAAAGAAGAAGTTACAGGTCTGTGAGAGCCAGAAATCTTGCTTGTTTGTAGGTGACCAAATACTTATTTTCCACCATAATTTGCAAATACATTCATTAAAAATCCTACAATGGGATTTTCTGGATTTTTTTTTCTCAATTTGTCTGTCATAGTTGACGTGTACCTATGATGAAAATTACAGGCCTCTCTCATCTTTTTAAGTGGGAGAACTTGCACAATTGGTGGCTGACTAAATACTTTTTTTCCCCACTGTATGTTGTTTGTCTACCTTGGACTTCACGTTTCGTTTCATTTGTTGTTTTGTCGTGGTGTTTATTCAGTATAAATAAACATGTATGCATATCACGCTGCGCCTTGGTCCGTCCCGTCTGTAAGCGAACGTGACAGATCATATATCTTGTGTGGGTATATCTGAGTCATAATGATCCTGTGATATGATTATGAGTGTCTTACATGGGTATCCTCTATCGCTTAAATATGAGCAGTATATTTATTCAATCTACCTCTTGCATATGATCCCCTACCTCAATAGGTATGATCTATGTGTTTTCTTTGGCAGGTCATGGCAGAGATATGTCAGAGTGGCTACAAGGACGCCCTTCGCTTTCTTGAGGAGAACCGTGAGTATTACTATGTTGCCTTTGACAGTAATAGTGGCAGTACTAAAATGATAAGCTACTGTGACATACATGCAGTGAGCATCAATGATGTCAATTGAACAGGGTTCAACATGAAGTGTGGAGTAAACCAGTGTGGAGTAGTATTTTTATGCTGTGTTACAAAGATTATTAATGTATTGTTTATGATGTCAGATCTGCTGAAGCTGGAGTGTCCGACTGTCGGCCCCAACCCATCAGAAGCCATTCACACCTGCTGCTGCAAGCCCATCGCCACGGAAACCACTAAGGACTGGATGCTCCGGCGGCTCCGCCTCCTGAGGAAGCGGCACTGGTGGCTGGACGAGCAGATTGTTGACAACCTGCCTATCCAAATCAAAAAAGGTAGATAGGAGGTTAACCTAGACTTTCAGATATTTTCTGCTCAAAGCTGTTAGAAGCTGTTGTTATCTAGTTATAACATTGTGTTGTCACTGTGCTCTTGTCAATGACATGTGGTTGTTGTGTGTATCTGAAAGTCCTCTGAAGCTGTGCCCGTGTCAGCGAAGTGTAACATATTGTGTGTCTTTGACTGTAGTGTTCTGTGAGGCGTGCCAGCAGAAGCCTGGTCTGTATACTCAGGTGTCCGAGATGCTGCCGGTCAGAGTGGCCTCCTACATGCTCCTGCCCTGCACACTACCTGTGGTGTCAGCCTACTCAGTGGGCAAGAGGTAAGACTACATCCTACACCACTAGTGCTACCTACCACAAACAAGCCCTCAATGAACTCAATGCGGTCACAGTAGCTCAAACAGTAACCAATGATGACAACAGTAATGCAAACAAATCAGCTTCTAAAAAGCCCTGAACTAGCCTTTAGCATAACTAGCCTTTAGCATACATTAGCCAATACCTTCAAACTAGCCCTGACAGCAACCACTGACAACAAAGTAGTAATTAGCCCACCACAGCAACCAAATAACACTGGGAATGCAAACAAACTAGGAATACAAACAGGTTTCCTACTAAATGCAATCAATTTGAATGTGCTGCACAGGGACGCCACCTAGTGGGCAAGTCAATCCACCCAGGAATTGTTGAGAACTGGCCTCCCGTAGTGGTACATCACAGTACATTGACTCTCTGTGTTGTCCCTCTCCTGTGCTCCAGGTTTGTGGAGTGGATCCCAGAGGTGCCTGCAGACATGCGTTGGCTAGCTGGGGTGGCTGGGGATGTGGCTGGGAGCGTGTACAGACAGGCCTGGAGAGGAGCACCAGCAGACGTAACCAGGTGAGAGACATGGAGTTATTACTACTGGGTTATATTATGGATGGATGGAGTCTACTTGTAGATTTGTATGTCTGTCATACAGTATAAATAAAGTCTAATGGCCTTGTGTGTTTTTCTTTTTGCAGTGATGGTTCCCTGAGGAATTGCCTGAGTTTGCCTCCACCCCTGGATAGTGACAGACACAGGGAGAGAAACGGTCACCTCGCCGGGTTCGCTCTCTCTGCTCTCGACCTCCAAAGCCAATACTGGAACATCCCCACCCCACCCTCTTCCCACTGCCCCACCAGCCCCCTCATGCCCAGCCCCTCCCCACGACAGATCTGCTTCTTTGTTGGCTCGCAGGACGAGACTGACTGACAGTACCACACACCAATGAGAGGACACTGTGACTTTGTATTAAAAGATGATAGGACAGTCCAGCTCAAGATACCTCCCACAGGACCTGTCTATAGGCTATAGGAACTGTGAAGGGTGGTTTGGGATGGACAAATGATGGTCATGTGATTGAATAGCTTTGGGATCCAGAACTGTTGCTATAGACACACTAATGACTCAATCATGTATTTTAATCACTCCACCAATCATATTTTATTATATTGTACACATTGGAAAACAATGTACCAGCTCACCACCTTTTTGAAATTATACATTTTATAACTATGTCTAGTTTTACCAGATAACTTGTTGTCACTACAACTCTAACTACCTACCTACCTACTTACTTACCTACCTACAGTACCTACCTACCAGAAGAAGCTGGTGGCAGGAGCTATAGGATGGCCGGCTCATTGTAATGGCTGAAATATAATAAATGGAATGGTATCAAACATATGGAAATCACATGTTTGACTCCGTTCCAAATCAACCATTCCAGCCATTACAATGAGCCCATCTGTCACGATCGTCGTAGTAATGAGTAGACCAAGGCGCAGCGTGAGAAACAAACATGACTTTAATTAGTTAAAGTTTCTAAACAAAACAAAACACGACTCGTGAAGTCCACGGTGACAATGACCGAACACGGAACAAAAACCCACCAACCCAAAGTGAAACACAGACAGTTAAATATGGCTCCCAATCAGAGACAACCAGCAAACAGCTGACACTCGTTGCCTCTGATTGGGAGTCACTCAGTCAAACATAGAAAATGACGAACTAGAACACCCAACATAGAAACAGAACACATAGAATGAACACACCCTGGCTCAACATAATGAGTCCCAGAGCCAGGGTGTGACAGTACCCCCCCCTAAAGGCGCGGACTGCGACCGCGCCTCAACTAAACAAAACAGGGGAGGGCTGGGCGGGCATACCTCCTCGGCGGCGGTTCTGGCTCCGGCCTTGACCACCACCCTCCAATACACCCCCCATAGTGCCCCTGGTCCAGTCTGTCGACTTGCACCCCTGGCTTGGTGCGTGGAGGAGGAACGGGCCTTACCAGGCTGACTTCTCGCACCCCTGGCTTAGTGCGAGTGGCAGGAACAGGCCGGATCGGGCTGGCGACGCGCACCGTAGACTTGGTGCGGGTGGCAGGAACAGGCCGGACCGGGCTGGCGACGCGCACCGTAGGTTTAGTGCGTGGAGCAGGGACAGGCCGGGCTGGGCTGTCGACGCACACCGTAGGCTTGGTGCGTGGAGCAGGAACAGGCCGGGCTGGGCTGTCGACGCACACCGTAGGCTTGGTGCGGATGGCAGGAACAGGCCGGACCGGGCTGGCGACGCGCACCGTAGGTTTGGTGCGAGTGGCAGGAACAGGCCGGGTCGGGCTGGCGACGCGCACCGTAGACTTGGTGCGGGTGGCAGGAACAGGCCGGACCGGGCTGGCGACGCGCACCGTAGGTTTGGTGCGAGTGGCAGGAACAGGCCGGACCGGGCTGGCGACGCGCACCGTAGACTTGGTGCGGGTGGCAGGAACAGGCCGGACCGGGCTGGCGACGTGCACCGTAGGTTTAGTGCGTGGAGCAGGGACAGGCCGGGCTGGGCTGGCGACGCACACCGTAGGCTTGGTGCGTGGAGCAGGGACAGGCCGGGCTGGGCTGTCGACGCACACCGTAGGCTTGGTGCGTGGAGCAGGGACAGGCCGGGCTGGGCTGTCGACGCACACCGTAGGCTTGGTGCGTGGAGCAGGGACAGGCCGGACTGGGCTGGCGACGCACACCGTAGGCTTGGTGCGTGGAGCAGGGACAGGCCGAACCGGGCTGTGGAGACGGATAGGAGGCCTGGAGTGAAGAGCGGCCACCACCCGTCCTGGCTGAATGCCTACCCTCACACACTCTGTGTGAGGCATCCGCACAGGACGTACAGGGCGGTGTACCCCTGGCCTGGTGGCCTTCTGGATCCGCCCCCTTTTCTCCTCCGTCAGCCCCGTCGTCCATGCCATGTGCCCCCCCTAAAAATTTAAGTGGAATGGTATCAAATACATCAAACATGGTTTCCATGTGTTTGATGCCATTCTATTCGCTCTGTTCCAGCCATTATTATGAGCCGTCCTTCCCTCAGCAGCCACCTTTGCTACAGTACCTACCTACCTGTGTTCAGTTAAATGTAGCATTCATACATCATTCCTAACGGACTGTTGACCTTACTTGACGTTGACTTCCTTGACTATGAGCTTTGTTTTTTCCTGACTACTATTAGACAGGACCCTTGCACTGAACTATGAACTACTGTGATGAGCTGTGATGTGAAGAAGTTTGAATCACAATATTCTTGAACATACCTTTCAGAACTTCTCTCAATGTTGCTTTTGCACAATTATTTGAGTTGTATAGGATTCACAATTTTAATATGGCATCTTCAAATGGGTGATTTTCATGAAACCACTGTGAAAACCTCTGCCTACTTGTGCCTTTTATCCTATACTGTTGGCCCTTATCTTAATAACATAAAGCACAACAACGGTTTTTATGATGTGACATTCTGTGTTTAAATATACTGTAACTGTTAAAATCCTATTGTGGTGCCTCATCCATCAATATGCGCTAAGATGCCCCACACACTGATCTCAATTGCAACCACTATTGGCCACCATATTACCGCTCCCTAAAGCTTTTGTCCATGTATACTTTAAGTCCTGGTTGCTGCCAAAACATTTCAAGACTATTTAGCCCTCTGGTGAGTATTATCTTCGGTATAAATTAAACCTAATAATTGAGCAGACTAAGCACAGATTTAACTATTTGAAAATCATTCCGTACAACTGAAATTAGGTATTTCCTCGTTTACCACAGAGAATCTACTGTGGCAATTTACTCTACAGATTTTATGAATATAAAGCTTGTGTTGCTATACTTACTTTCATTTCCAATTAATGTAACCCATTAACAAAAACGTGTCTTAATACAGTATGGTCATTTAGTCAAATAGTATGAAATACAGCAGAAGTGTGTTAATAATGTCACTAGCATATTCCATGTACACTAAAAGTTCACTTGAACATTGGTGTACTCTTTCAGTACTTCAATACAGACTTTCATTAAACTTTGTTCTTTGTCTTTTATTTCAGTGCATTTCTATGGTGTTGAAGGACATTACATTGTAGTGTATTTGTTGTTATACTAAATCACATTTTATAGGGTATGAATAACATGTTTGTGACATTAACACACTTCTGTTGTACTTGAGAATAACTTTCAGGTACATTTTAATTGTGTATAAAGTACACCTCAAATAATGATTTACAAGTCCTGTTTAAACTCCCACTCCTCCCCCTACAACAATACACACAATACACACAAATCTAAAAGCAGAAGAATGGAGTTAAGAAATATATAAATAATAGGACATGCAATGTCGGAGTGGCATAGACTAAAATAGAATACAATACAATATATACATGTGAGATGAGTAAAGCAAAAATGTGTAAACATTATTAAAGTGGCTCGTCAGAGGAGGATCTTCCTTCTCATTGAATTTCATAAAAAATAGTGAAACATTAAAGTGATTATTTTTAGATAAAACTATACTATACTGAAAAAATATATAAATGCAGTATGCAACAATTTCATTGATTTTACTGAGTTACAGTTCATATTAGGATATCAGTCAATTGAAATAAATAAATTAGGCCCTAATCAATGGATTTCACATGACTGGGAATACAGATATGCATCTGTTGGTCACAGATACCTTTAAAAAAAAATGGGCCTCACAATGGGCCTCAGGATCTCATCACGGTATTTTTGTGCATTCAAATTGCCATCGATAAAATGCAATTGTGTTCGTTGTCCGTAGCTTATGCCTGCCCATACCATAACCCTACCGCCACCACGGGGCACTCTGTTCACAATGTTGATATCAGCAAACCGGTAGCCCACATAACGCCATACACATGGTCTGCGGTTGTGAGACTTGTTGGACGTACTGTAAAATTCTCTGAAACGACGGTGGAGGCCACTTATGGTAGAGAAATGAACATTACATTATCTGGCAACAGCTCTGGTGGGCATTCCTGCAGTCAGCATGCCAATTTCACGCTCCCTCAAAACATGAGACATCTGTGGCATTGTGTTGTGACAAAACTGCACATTTTAGTGGCTATTTATTGTCCCCAGCACAAGGTGCACCTGTGTAATGATCATGCTGTTTAATCAGCTTCTTGATATGCCACACCTGCCAGGTGGATGGATTTTCTTGGCAAAGGAGAAATGCTCACTAACAGGGATGTAAACAAATTTGTGCACAAAATCAGAGAAATAAACTTTTTGTGCATATGGAACATTTCTGGGATATTTTATTTCAGCTCATGAGACATGGGACCAACACTTTACATGTTGCGTTTATATTTATTGTTCAGTGTAAATATATTAATGTCACCTTATAACTGATTAAAACACACGGTTTTGCAATGAAGGTCTACAGTATCCTCAACAGCACTCTCTAGGGTAGCACCATGGTGTAGCCAGCCAGAGGACAGCTATTTAAAGTCCTCCTCTGGATACATTGACTAAAATCCAAACCAAGGAGGCTCATTGTTCTCACCCCCTTCCATAGACTTGCACAGTAATTATGACGACTTCCGGAGGACGTCCTCCAACCTATCAGAGTTCTTGCAGCATGAACTGACATGTTGTCCATCCAATCAAAGGATCAGATAATGAATCTAGTACTAAAAGCATAAGGTACAGCTAGCTAGCACTGCAGTGCATAAAATGGGGTGAGTAGTTGACTCAAAGACAATAGTTGAACAGTTTTGAACAAATTCATTTCTTCAAAAATTAAGAAGCAGCAGAGAGCTATATTTCATTGTATTTTTTTCACTTTCACTCACTTAGCTAGCTAATGCATCTAATTCAACAACCTGCCTCAAAACGAGAGGAATGCTATTTATCTTAGCTAGCTGGCTAAGGCTATCCAAC